CCTTTTTCTAAGGAAATGGCTTAAACACTTTCTTTTTTCTATCTAACGTCGTCGATTTTGGTAGAAAGCATTACTGATTAATGAATTGATATACAAATGACAAATGAATGTAAACTGGATCCAGATTCGAACAGCTTGGAATCAAGCCAGAAACCTTCCAGCTTTGAGGTTGAGCACTGAAACTATTTAACAACCCGTTAACAACAACTCAATTCATTATTAAACTTTGTGCCAAATTTACGTCAAAGTCATTTACAATATATTTTACAATATCAAGTTAGTTGATATATATCGAGGGTTTATATAAACTGCTTCTAACGTTTTGTGGTGTGTGCAGTACGCCTGATGTAAACAGAACGCAATTCATCTACAGCTATGTATAGCGGGTCTAGAGATTTAGTTATTGAAGGCACTCCAGTGTTCAGTTCAGCCTTCAATTGTTGAAGCGCACACTAGCTGCACGGTACTGTACACCGCGCGGTATCTCTAAACCGAAGGCGTTTATGCGTTACGGATGAGTTTCTGATGTTGTACTACTGTAGGGTTTGATCAATATAGTTCAGTAATAGTGTGAATTCATAAATATCTAGAACAATTCTGCGCTCTAAGTGTGTTTAATTTAATTGTAATATCGTACAAATTTCTAAATCCTCATAGCATGACAAAACTTTACCTGCGGTGTATAGGCCTATGAGAAAATATGTTCAGTTAGTGTATATTTTATATAGAATATAATAATACACGCAACGTGGGAATAAGTGTAATGAAGTGCAAATAAGTGTGTTCGAAATAAATTCACTGTAAGTTAAAACCATAGATTAAACATACTCCCTTAGGGAGTTTAATCCATGTTAAAACTTAATGTACTATAGTACCATTGACTGTACACCTCTATGGTTATAGTTAACTTTATAGAAAAAGGTATATTTACGGATTTCAGCATATTTTTACAATTTAAATTAATGGAATACAATAAGAAACTCAATTATGCAATATATAATAGGAATTGAAAAAATTAAAATCCAATCATGTAAAATAAACAAAAAAAAAACACGCATTAGTGGTAGCAGTTTTCTAAATCCATGTATTTAACAATATTAGTTTATATATGGAACATAACAACAACTGTCATAAACAAATAAAGTATGCAAACGAGTGTAAACAAATTTATTCCACGTATACCGTAATACAACATAAAACTTAAATTGAAAATATTCAAATTCGACGTTATAAAATAAACGATTTACAACATTCATGACAATAGGTCGAATAAACCAGAAACCAGTTAAGTGGAAACATAAAGTGGTCTAACATATTCAACGGTTATGTTACCTAACAGAATTAACAAACCCAACAAGCAGGTTGAAGTGCACAATAAAGTATGCAATGCAGAGGGCATACTGCATTACTGCATAGCGTAAATAGGTTGGCCATACACGCAAAGTATAAACGGGATATAATCATATGCGCTGTGCTGCACATGTATGTATACTCTCTACTTTTACTTTTTATCAGTACCTCATTGTGCATTATTGCAATTTATTTGTCCAATTAAATGTAGCTGTTACGTATAACGGACTTCACAAGGTGTTGTTACCAAGAAGATTAGTTGAAGGCGGAAAACTACAATTCCTTAGGTGTTTTCGGTAACAGTACATTGCGGCCTTTTACGTTTCCAGTTTATACACGGCGTTTACGATTTCCATTAAGGTTTACTAAACGGTTGTAAGAATCATATTTTTTGCAACCAATAAAACTTTCTGTTTATGTGTTTTGAACAGTTGATTTTTAAGCATTGTTACACAGCCCGACCGGTACTATAGGGTTCAATTTTGTAACCAGTTGCATGTTAGTCGTCATCAGTTGAATTTATCGTTGCATTTAATTGTGCATAGCTACTTTTCGACAATTTTCAAACCAACCTGGTTTGTCAGCAATTACGCTTTTTGTTGCAGTGGATGAAACAGAAAACAATATTTTATTGTCACCAATAACATTTTCAAAATATAATGTATTTTACCTAGTCATCATTCAAACTACTAGGTTTTCAATCACAATTCTTTTGGATAGCTTATGTAGTATTTCCGTTTTCCCGCACAGATTACTGTAACAAAGTTTAATTTTCAGTCAGAGTTTATTGCAATCAGTTAATTTTCATGAACATTTATATTAAAATTTTAAGTTTTTACAACAAACTGCTTTGTCACAGAGTATTCAAGAGCTACTGCTCATTTTCGGGCACTCTTGCTCATTTTCTGTGCTATAGTTACGTTTTCATTCACAAGTTACGATAACCAGTTCTATTTTCCATAACAGTTTATTGGAATGCGTCGTGCGCCCGGCGGAGAAGACATATCACGAATAATCGGCAACATAAAGTATTCCGGATCATCGTACTTTCGTTGAACTTTACCTTCGACTTTCCCCGTTGGCAACGCCACTAGCGCTAAACACAGGTCATTATGCGCATTACCAAGAGCTACTGATTTGAAACTACCGCCGCTCTGGACATATAGTTCACCATAATTGTGTCTTTGGTTGTATATCGGAGATTAAATTGTGTAGCTTACCGTATGCTCAGAATGGTTAGTGTACCTTATCCAGTTCGATCTAGTTGATTACCGATCCTTCGACGTTTGTTAATAGCAAAACCTCAACGGGTTGGAACGTCCTCTTAAAATTGCTACAGGTGATTATGGGGGGAAAATAGAAAAGTTTAACAAAATTATACTATTATTGTTTAAAGATCTGGATTGTTGAATTTTCTTCATTATTATTTCTTCATCCCATGTTTTATTCAATACATCTTGCACCCATACTTCCTGCCCTTCATTGAAATTCTCGTCATGGTTTAAACCTTTTTTGTCATAATATGACTTTTCTGCTTTATGAGTTTTCATAATTTTCTCATTGATGCTGTCCTCAACAAGTTTGGGTTTTAATGGCTTTTCTCTCATTGGAATTTTACTTCTTAAGTGGAAACAGAACACGCGTAAATACTCAGTTAAATAATACATCTGCGGAACTGTTTAAACGAAACTCTTTCAATGAAATCGCATGTTACTATCTGAAAACGTAAAGAAACTTTGCCTTGGACTTCCTAGTCAACAAACAAAGTTTTTAAAGTTAACCATAGACCTATTTATGTATTACCATCCAAAAGGAAACAGGGGGTTGAAGTGTATTTAATTTAAGTTAAACAGGATCTTGGATTGAGTGATTCTTCTAGAAGAGTTTTATCCTTCTTTACTTATAGACATTTACAACTCCGCAGCTTTTTTGTAATTAAATTGAATTACCGCAGAGTAATATTGAATTTGTTACCATATTTATCATAGTTTTCAGTCATTATTCAGAGCGATCTAGCATGTTCAACAGTGTTAAGTTCACATTAGCCACACGAGCATGCAGTGGGAGAGGCTCTATGGAGCGGTGAAAGCGTCTAATCTTCCATAATTAAATTGTACTTCCCCCGATTTGATGGCGATTAATATTGCTCATGAATCAGTTTCACTGGCGGATCTGTGAGTTGAAGCTATAAAATAAACACTCACGACGTGACCTTTCGTTCCAGCAGCCGCCACTGGCTTGTAATAAGGATCAGCTGAGTTCTCCATCCACTGCCTTGCAATCAGGATCAGCTGTTCACCAACCACTGGCTTGCATTTAGGATCAGCTTTTCAGCACTAGCCACTGCCTTGCATTTAGGATCAGCTGTTCACCAGCCACTGGCTTGCGATCAGGATCAAGTGAAATGTTTTAAGAACCAGCTGTTTCTCATAAATTTTAAGTGGGTTCCACCCGGCAGCCAAAATTTCAATTCAAGATGGCGGATTAAGGTCGATTCACACACATCAGTCCAGTCACAGTTCCGTTACAGTGCAGTTGCAGTCCAGTTACAGTCCAGTCGCAGTTGCATCCGCAATTTCCCAGTCAATTGTCCGTCAGTTGGTTTCAGTCAGTCTTCCGTCTCTAATATTTACAGTAATTTACAGTCAAAAAAATTAAATTTTAAACCTATATTCTATTAAATTATCATTGTCCATCTTGTTGATTGTTACAAACAGTACTCAAAATACAAACGCAACCATTTTAACAACAATAACACTATTTTCTAACCTCAAACAGTTCCGTCAGGCGTCCGAAGAATCAAAAAGTATCGTTGGAAAGAAATCTGAAATTGACTGACGGATGCCAGCAGAGTGACTGACGGGACTGCAACGGATGAGTGTAGATAGCGCAATAGAAAATCCATCAAAGAATATTTTTGATAAATGTGACGTGCCTGAAGTGACTTTACTGTGACGTGCCGTAACTGATGTGTGTGAATCGACCTTTATATGGATTGTTTAAAAGTTTATAATGTAACACGTATAGGTTTGAATGTGAGTTTGAATATCTACATATTCTTGCCTATCAATAGTGTAGCCTAATTGAAAAGTTATTTCGATCAGTCTGCGTTTCATATATTTCAATTTTAAAATATATGAAATCATATATGAAATACACACCACCTCTAAAAAACTGTTTTTCCTAACAGTTACCGAAGAAAAAGTAGAACAACGAATGAAACTAGTATCACCCCGTACTTTTAGGTCCGTAGCGCTCAGTTAATATTAAACAATCAAACACTGCAGCTATCTACATAGACAAACAGGATCCAAATCATGTTTACGACTCTCTAGCAGGAGGCCTACCCTGATTTCATTTTCGTCAGCCTACGCGTACATACTGCTGCCGGATCCATACCTTCACTCATCCGTCAATATAACGATCATCCGGTGTCGTTCATACGTCACCCGCCACTGATTGTCGACAAAGAAACTCAATCGACCTGAATTCCTTTGTAACATGCTTGGAATTCATTTGTAGGCTATAAGTATTAATGACTCAACTGGCTGATCACATATTGTAGTAGAGCTAGCTATATAAATACAATCCACCACCACATTGTGATTGTCAATCAAACAGTAGGAGTGTTTTAGATGGTCAGCACTTACCATGGAGATGAAGTAGAACTTCTCAAAGTCCTGTTCCTGTTGTTTGATGGCGGGTAGAGTGCTGGCGAGCTCTGCGTGTCGCTTCAGACTGTCCTCACCTTTGTGGTTCAGCCATGACAGCACCTGAGGACAAACCAGGAGTTAGTCAAGTCGAAGAAGAGAGTAAAATGAACAGTTTGCTAAAGACCTTGGGTACATTGTATTAAATTTATACGTCGCTAGCTCTGCAGCGTGGAAAGATTAGTCAAGGAAAAGTGTTGGATGACAGCAGGAGCAGTTGGTTAGCAGGACCAGACACAATGATCTCGAAACAGCTAGTTATATTAACTGATAACATAAATAACTCTATGTATCTAGCTAAAAATAAAGTGTATAAATTTAAATCAATCCATAAGCTAAAATGTACCATCCCTTAAAGAAACAGAAAATAAACTATGTCAGAAAACTGACGTATATTTTGACATGGTTGTTTTGTGGTAGAAAATATTTGTTACTTTTCAGGTCTCAACATTTTGATCCAGTTCTTAAATAGTGACGAGGGTTGTGTCACAGACAATGGAATAAACCGTTGTGTACTTTATTTCGATACGGAAGGACTGAACCTTGTGGTAACGTTGGTCTCTTAGTAACAAATCAAGCGTTGCTGGTTATACACAGTTTTACGTTACAGACGATAGCCAATAAGGATGACAAATCCAAGGGAGTTGGTTATTTTAAAACTTTTACATGCTTCATCAATGAAAATCCTGAACAGTCGACGTACCGTAATCTTTGTGGCCCAATAAGGAGCTTTTAAATGCAATCTAAAACGAATTCCCAAATTTCAATAGATTTTGAATCAATATTCCACAAACCTTCAGCAACACACTCTCCTCACGAGTAGTGTTTAAGCTCGGACGAAACAGAAGTTAATTAGTTTTACACGGAGGGCGTTCGTTGTACTATCTACCATCACCTAGCGGTTATAATTAAAACACCAATTAACGCATAGCAGCGTGTGCGAGCGAGTGCGTTAACATTCTAATTGTTTATAGTGTTAGGTGAGTCTAGAAACAGTGCTAAAACATCTGTTACGAATAGAATTATTGATTTAGGCTGTGACTGTTGACTTTGGAAGTAGAAATAAAGATGTGACATGTAAAACATGGACTGCAACAGTTTTAAACTTTAAATATCTTTACAATCGCAATTTCGACTTTGTATACATAACTGAGGTAGCCAAATGAAACATAGTTGAATGTTTTGCTCAAAGTATGTGTTGTCTTCAACAGATGTTACATATCTCTATAAGCTTTGGATCCAGTTAAAAGGTGCAATAGTTAACAGCACTAATTGATTGTAAGGCTCTGTAAGTGGCTTAAATCAATTACGTTGGACATCACTAACAAGAAACAGCTTGTACACGTCATGTTTCAAAGGTGCTCATATTGATGACACGAATGAGACCGGATAGAAACAACGTTTAGAAAACAAACTGTAGAGTATAAAGTAGTCTCTGGTTCCCACTAATCCGAACCAATGATAAATGTATTCTATAATCACTCAGTTATAACAGAAGTGTTAAACAACTATAATTACACAACTAGTTGCTGTAGCACCATTAAACATTAGATTCCCTCCACTGACAACGCTTAATCCAAGAGACGATAAATCTAATAGATATCTCAATTTAGATAATAACTTATGACGCAACCACCGACTAGTTTAAGAGCCATTAAAATAGTTAGTGTCAGTTTTAAACGGGGGCATTTCGTTAATAGGTTTGTTGGTCGTTTGAAAGGTGCTATTTATGGGTAGTTTTTGTGTGAAGTTAAGTAATAGGCGAAATTAACAGTATACGCTTCAACTGTGTAAGCAGTGCTGTCGTTGAGGGTAAAATGTTATTATTTAAAATCACTAAGAGCGGTTTCATTTAAGAGAAACTTTATACATATTTGGATATAATTTAAAATATTGATTATGGATGAGCTCTCTAAAAACTTGAAGATTTAGGAAGTTAGTAAATGAGTAGATTTTGGATGACCCAGGTAGTCACAAAATCCAAAACAGAGTTTAAGGTTGATTTTGAGGAGAGTAATTTGATTTTTATAAAGGGCCGACTATCGGGGGAGAATCTGCCAAATACAACGACCGTTAGGATATTAAATCGAGATCCTGATTGGTTAGTCACATAGTCTTGTACAGCCACAAAAATCACCAAGTAATTCGACTTCATTCTATTAAACATTTACTACTAATTCCACCTAAAAATACGCACCTAACGTATATGACACAGAAATATTGTTTTTAATATTTGTTGAAAACTATGAAATAATAAACCCAACCTGTCGGCAAGTCGGTAGGTAAGGCATTAACGACGGATTGTAAAACCGATCGATTTATTATGGTAATCTTCTTGACCTCATCTTACTTTACTTACCTGCTTTACTTGATAAGTTACTCCCACATGCTTGGGGACGGGGCAGTTCTAAGGGTAAAAGACGCCACCAACGTATTTGTTCCATGGTAATAAACGGCAAATAAATAAGAAACTGTGTAAGAACGCTTCCAGTCTGGACGACGGTCCGGTGAATGAGGCGGCACTTTGTGTGTAAAGTGTAAACAGTGACCGCAGACCGGTTCACTCGCCCACCCGCGGTGTCACTGACCTGTCACGTGACCTTGACCTTGACATCAGCTGGCCACCAGCCACCGGCCACCACTACAAACACACCGCGGACCACCGTGGGTTACACTGGGTTGTCAAGTGGATTGACAACGATATGATAAAATTCAACACGACAAAGTGTGTATTTTAAGGCGAAAATGAGTCATTCATCAAATCAAGGACAGAATAATGTATTTCCAAAGAGTAAGAACTCTTCAGGCATTTCTCAGGATCGAACCGGTAACCTCCTGATTACCAGTCAAGCACTATATCAGCTCAGCTACTCAGCTATTGAATAATGCGAGACACTGAACCTTATTGCAAAAGATGTCTTTAGTGTGTTTAGCGTATGATTGAGATGGTGTAAATGATTCTCTCTATATTGTAGATTTCATGATTTATGCTTTGGTCGTAATAGAAGACTGTAGCTTACCAAAAGAGCGTTGTGTTTTAAAAAAATTATATTTGTTTCTAAGCTGATTGAATTATATAAAAAAAACTTCAGCTGATGAACATGGATGATGGATTCATGAGAGTATTTATTCTTTGGTGGATGTGATGTCTAAATAGAAATCCTTTATTGCCAAACGTTCAGCAATAATCAGCAATTCTATCCAATCTTACCGATCTGCGCAAGATGTAAATTCGAACTCACTGCTTTGTGATGAAATCTGTCTTCATCAAGTGGAAAAAAATGTATTTTATAGCTAAACAATCTGATGTTTCAACTACTTTCCCTGAAAATTCTGGTTGCCCACATAATGCAAATTTTAGCTATAACAATTTATGAACTATTTAAACACTTAAATTTATCTCAATTGAATGAAAAACTACGGACTTATATACAGGGTGTTGAAAATGTCTGGAACCAACATTATATCTCGTGAGTGGTTAAAGAAAAACAACTGATATTTTGTGTACGGATATACTATGGTTTTACCTATCTTTTAGTGCCTTATGAAAATTTTTACCACTTATAGGGAACGTCCTGTGGAGGATGCAGTAAAAAGTTCTCTTTGAAGCCTATGGTAAATGATACATCATTTTAAAGGCCATTTTTTTCTGAGTAAGGAGCCACAAGTTTCATCTCAAAAGGACCACCCTAGCAAAAATGGCGACTGTTTAAAATTTAAAAAACCACTTATAGGGAACGGAATTTTTAAATTTCAAACAGTCGCCATTTTCGCTAGGGTGGTCCTTTTGAGATGAAACTTGTGGCTCCTTACTCAGAGATAAATGGCCTTTAAAATGATGTATCATTTACCATAGGCTTCAAAGAGAACTTTTTACTGCATCCTCCACAGAACGTTCCCTATAAGTGGTTATTTAAATTTCAAACAGTCGCCATTTTTGCTAGGGTGGTCCTTTTGAGATGAAACTTGTGGCTCCTTACTCAGAAAAAAATGGCCTTTAAAATGATGTATCATTTACCATAGGCTTCCATTTAAACTTTTTACTGCATCCTCCACAGGACGTTCCCTATAAGTGGTAAAAATTTTCATAAGGCACCAAAAGATAGGTAAAACCATAGTATATCCGTACACAAAATATCATTTGTTTTTCTTTAACCACTCACCAGATATAATGTTGGTTCCAGACATTTTCAACACCCTGTATATTTATGGTTTAAAACACATTAAACATGACAAATTATAAAACAGTTTTACTATTATTAGCAATCTGACCTTATTTCACCAACGATACATTCAAACGATAGATTGCAACCGCATCGATGATGTGGCTAACCTACTAGCACACTGCAGCAATTTCTCAACAGCGATGTAGGTTAGAAACATTGAGCATAGAAAACCAAAACAGGAGACGACCTGATTGATACTTTCGCGCGTGCTGCGGCGACCTTCATCTCGGCCGCCATTGACATTCGCTTTCATGTGACCTTGATGCGATGCGACTACCGACTATTGACTACTGTGTTGTTGACTTCTGACTATATCAATCACCGACTACATTTTACAAGAATACAGTGTGTTATGCAGATTTGCTTGATTTACTACAGAGTAGGACTCGTATGTTGACAGAATAAAAAGTTCTAACAGTAAACCATGGACACCAGCTGTATAATTAAACCATAGATAAAAACATACTCCCTTAGTCTATGGTTAAACATAGTAAGTTTACTATTGACTGACTATTGACTTAGTAAATTATCAACTACCGACCATTTTAGCTATAAAGTATCGATTATTTGAGCTAACAAGGATTGTTGCCAGTCTTTAGAATGAGACGTAAAGATACATGTCATAAGCGAAATTATTCACGTTACACTGAAAAGTACCTAAACACCAAACACAACCAAGTTTCTATGCTAATCATGTCTATTATATATCCCTTTTTTCAAACAAAACCTTCGATAGCTTTCTAATTTTTTATTGTAGCAGAGAATTTGTTCATAAATTTTAGACCAAAATTATAAATACCTATCAACATGTCTATCTGACACGGAAACTATTTAAAT